GGACCGCAACACTTCAAGATTTTCTAGAAGGCTGTGAGCTCAGCTGATACATGAAAACATGAGGAAATTATAGGAACATCTGATAATTAATATAAATACCCCCAGCGAGCCAAAAACGTGCGTCCTGGCATCGGGGCGCATGGTCGCCAACGTGTTAATCATTGATACAGTACAAGCATTGCTATGGTTATAGTAACTGCTACAGTATGCTACAGTATAGCTGTGTTAATTTGCCTATTGTTTCGTTTCGCACAAAAACTAATCAAAGGCCACACTTTGCCGATTCAATAGCTCAACAACCTCTGGAACAAACGAATTCTTAACTATACTATTCCCCGACAGTTTCTAATCCTAGTCTTTCGCACGATTTTGTTTACGGTCTCAATTCAGGCAGAGTGACCCTTAGACGAATGACAACTGATCATCCCGTCACTGATTTCACTGATATCATTGTCGCCATATGTCGCCACAACGCCACATGTCGTTCCAGCGACCTACATTCCACCCAAAATCATACCGCCCCCAACACTGTTGTTGCCACCTTTAACAACGCGCAATCGATGCTATATTAGTAGGCCGAATCGCGTCGAGTTGAAAAGCGATCGTAAAACCGGCGGCCATCGTTGGTCGGAAATGAACCGCTCACTTGATGTGGCCTCTTTGAAATTTCACTCACACTCACCAAACTTGTGAGGTAAAACAAAAAGCTGTTCCAATTCTGACCAGACTGCTGTAGGAAAACCTCATGGAACGTAAAATAAAGATGAACCCGAGGCGCTTATAACCAGTAAGACCAACCCTGGTTTAAGAATATGACACCATATTCGAAAAGGTAATTACTAGAACGAACAAGGCCCTTATCCCCCGTTACAGTACCTGGATCACATCACATTGATCATGTAATAAGAAAAATAAGTTGAAATCTGGGAAGACGTAAAAACAACAAGCAGACGTGTCATAGTTGTAAATAAATAAATGAAAAATTGTAGGGAGCCTGCTCTTTACTCGTCTTTTGACTGGGAGCCAAAAACAACCGCCGATTCCAACTCCTTTGTGTTTAATGTTTGCCGCATTCTGGTGGCACCCGTTCGCCTTCTTTCATGAAATCACTAGACCCGAGACAATTTCCAGCCAACTTTTATGCAGGGCGAGTAAACATTAGGAGGATCCCAGGATTTCGACTATAAATCGAGTGCATGGCGTTGATCATAGATAAACGCAAATAGGACATGCCTGATTGACAACCAAGAACAGCCTGATAACTACTGAGACATTTGGGCTTTCCCTCCTCCAGCCTTGCAGTGTCATCCATGAGGGGAAAACACCAAAACCGGCCTTCTTTTCGCTATTATACAACGCCTTTCCCTAGTCAAACTGTACGGCAATTTATGTACGGTTGAGCAGCGGTGACCTAGTAAAAAGCCACACAAAAACTCTGAGAACAGCGTGGACCAAAGGAGTGCGTGGAAAACGTGATAAAGAGGATACATGCACTTTTCCCCTCGTAATTTCCATACATTTCCCCTTTCCCAACCCCTCCACTGACCTCAGTCACCCATCCACTGTTCTTTGTACAAAAGATCAATCTATACTTCTCAATACAGTTCTTTCACTTCATATGCTTGACCCTGGTTTAAGAGGTTGAAGAGAATGGGAAGTTTTTTTTCTTTCAATGTAATCGGGGCGACTTCACGGAAACAACTGAGAGTCGTCTGAGACAGCGCGGTGACACCCAGTGACCCAATTCCTAAGTGAATCACCATATGAAAAACGAGGAGAAAACGAACAAAACG